ACAGCGGTATACAGAGGTACACAGCAGTACACTGCAGTACACAGCGGTACACAACAGTATACAGAAGTACACAGCGGTACACAACAGTACACAGAAGTACAAAGCGGTACACAGAACTACACAGCAGTACACAGCAGTACACAGATGTACACAGCAGTACACAGCGGTACACCACAGTATACAGCAGTACACAGAAGTACACAGCAGTATACAGCAGTACACAGAAGTACACAGCATTACACAACAGTACAGCAGTACACAGAAGTACAAAGCGGTACACAGCAGTACACAGCAGTACATGGAAGTACACAGCATTACACAACAGTAAACAGCAGTACACTGTATATTTCTTTGAATGCTATCTGAATGCCAATTTACTAGTTTATGTTGCTTTAAATCACAGACAAACACCCAGTGATTAAGTATTCCTACCACATGGTAACAAATATATATATATTACAAGGTCATGTTGTGCTTTGGAAATGTGAAAAAACACCCAAATAAATTGTAATTATTCATAATAAATAAGATTTAAATGTAGATGTCACTTATTTATCTCAGTCAGATAGTTGATGCTGTTCCTGTATTTACTACAAAATATTATATTTGATAAATTCCTGTGTTTTTTATACTGTATTTGCAAAGTAAAAAATAACACGTCATTTTGAATCCGTCTGAAACAAGTGATGGTACAGTAAGAAGCTCTGATGGCAGCGGAGAGGTGGGAGGAATGTTCATGATTCTAGAGAAGAGTGTGTGTGTGTGTGTGTGTGTCTGTGTGTCTGTGTATGTATGTTTCTGTGTGTGTGTGTGTGTGTGTGTGTGTGGAAGGGGCTTGTGTAGAGGAAACCAAACCCCCCCGATCAGTGATGTACGTCAGCGTCAGCATCACAGATGTTCCCACAGACACTCTGTGGGCCGAGTGTGTGGAGAGCCTGTTTTTGGAGTGTGTGTGTGTGTGTGTGATCAGAATATGTAGAATAGAGTATGTGGGCCTGTGTGTGTAGATGGAGACACGAAGTTGTGTTTAAAGTGTTCCTGAGTAGGAGCTGTACACTAGTGTGTGAGTGCAGGAGAAGTGTTACACACACATCTATTAATATGTTACAATAAAAGCAACAAGAAATGAAATTAAAATAATTCAGGTTTCAGAAATCCCCTGAAATATTAACTTCTGTAGACCATGTAATGATAATAATAATAAAACAATAATAATATGAAATTCTGCTCGATAAATAGAATAATTTGACTATAATCAAATTTTAAATAAATGAAAAGTAAAAAATAAACTTCTGCACATTATTTACTATAACAATTACAGTTTGTATGATACTAATACTATACTGTATGTTAATGTCATTATGAATCTTCCAGCCCACGGTGCAGTTGATTGAATGAATATCAAAGCCAACTTGATCGAAGCCCAACTATCTGTGGCCTTTGGTAAAAACAGGCAGTGAGATATTTGACGTACATCCCCTAAAATGTAGGTTTCTTGATCAAAAAAGAGGAACTGGTGTAGGTGTGTTTCCATGTCCAAACGGCACAAGATAGAGGAGTTGTTATTGATGGAAATTCTGTTATTTTATGTGTCAGACAAAATGAGATCAAAGCCTTCCTCTCAGAAACATCCTGAGGTGAGAGAGGAAACCACAGCCGGTGTCTGAAGTGGTTGAAAAGAAACTCAGTGTGTTTACTTCACGTCACACACTGATCTCACACTGATCTCACAGAAATCTCCTCTTAGATTTTGTATAGACATTAGATTCTGCACGACTCCTCTCCGGGTTAAAAAACACATGTCAGGGATGGTAACGGTACTCAGACCCTATATTTCAGTAACAACACATTTGTGTAGAAATATTCTGTAAAGGAAATTGTCTGCATTTCAAATATTACTTAAAGGTGGGGTAGGTAATTTTGGAGAAACCAGCTCGAGTGGCTAGAATTTTAAAATACACAGCCGGAACAAATCTGCCACTTCCTTACAGAGCCCCTCCTCCAACACACATGGAAGGCTGACAGGCAGGTAGGCCGTCCAGTTACTTTAGCCGGGCCGGCTCAGATGATTGGTCGTGCTTTTTACAGCGCTACAGCTTCCTCAGATGAAATGTTTGTATGGATTTTTTGTCAAAGCATTTAAGATATTCATTGCTATCGGGATGTTAAGAGCATTCCATGGAATATAACAAAAACTGTATCTCGAGCCGGTTTCTCAAACTTACCTACTCCACCTTTAAGTAATATTATTAAAGTGAACTGAAATTACATACATTTATAATTTTATAATAACGCTTTTTTTTACTCTGCAGAGTACTAACGCTGGCAGACAAATTCAGTGGAGTACAAATAACAACAATTACCCTCAGACATGGAGGAAAAGATGCATTTCAATGGACATACCAGTGGGGCCCACATGAAGTGACCCCTAACAGCGTGACTCATCAGGTCTACTTAACGCGGGACTTTCCCCCCAAACAATCCCTCCTGAGCCCCCCCCCGCCCCACATATCTGGCTCTGATGCATCCACTGAAGAATGTTGGCAGTGTCCATTCACACACACACACATACGCACACACACACACACACACACACACACACACACACACACACACACACACACACACACACACACACACACACACACACACACACACACACACACACACACACACATTACTTGCTGCTCTGCCAGGCAGTGTGGCATCTCCAAACGCCCCCGAAATTCCCGAAGCCAATGTCACTTCCTGTTCCGATTATACTGACACCTCCAATATGTAACGTTGACGCGTGAGTGGCAGCGACAGGTTGCACCCAACGTATTTAGGACTGTGATTATGGATCTAAATCATTCATTTAGGCCTTTATAAAAAAGCTGTTTCATAATTCAAATGTGTTTTAAATTATTCCATCACGGAGGAAACCGCTTCCTGTTGTCAGTGGTGGAAGTATCACTCATATTTATTCATTAAAGAGTGTGTCGTGTCTCTACTTTAAAGAGTCCTCTCCTGCTGATGTTCAGGTGTATATCAGTATGTAGTGTCTCTACTTTAAAGATTCCTCTCCTGCTGATGTTCAGGTGTATATCAGTATGTAGTGTCTCTACTTTAAAGAGTTCTCTCCTGATGATGTTCAGGTGTATATCAGTATGTAGTGTCTCTACTTTAAAGAGTCCTCTCCTGCTGATGTTCAGGTGTATATCAGTATGTAGTGTCTCTACTTTAAAGAGTTCTCTCCTGCTGATGTTCAGGTGTATATCAGTATGTAGTGTCTCTACTTTAAAGATTCCTCTCCTGCTGATGTTCAGGTGTATATCAGTATGTAGTGTCTCTACTTTAAAGAGTCCTCTCCTGCTGATGTTCAGGTGTATATCAGTATGTAGTGTCTCTACTTTAAAGAGTTCTCTCCTGCTGATGTTCAGGTGTATATCAGTATGTAGTGTCTCTACTTTAAAGATTCCTCTCCTACTGATGTTCAGGTGTATATCAGTATGTAGTGTCTCTACTTTAAAGAGTCCTCTCCTGCTGATGTCCAGGTGTATATCAGTAGTGTCTCTACTTTAAAGAGTCCTCTCCTAGCAATATTTGCTATTGTGCTCACACACATACACACAAAACTAGCAGCTAAAGCGAGAGTAAAAAGCACAATATTTGCTTACAAACTGTGGAGTAAATGTAGCATGAATTAGCATAACATGTAAATACTCAAATGTATACAAGTACTTCAAACGTGTACTTACTGTAAGTAGGCCTAACGCAATTGAGTAAATGTACTAATACATTTAAACTCTGCCCTGAATTACCCTTATATCAGATGTGAATCATGACAAGAGTTTTAAACCATCATGTGATTGCTTTATCTACTTTAGGTTGCTTTAATTATAATTGGTATTAGCTAATAATCTGAATATGTTAAGTAAGTAAAGCTGTAAAATATACATGTAGTGGAGTAAAAATACAATGAAAGTAACCTACGAGTTAGCATTACAAGTACATACTTAACTCAAGTAAAGTACTTCAAACTTGTAGTTAAGGAGGCTTTCAGTCAAATACTAGTACTTTATTACATTTGACACTGACCTGCATGACCCTTATATCACATGTGATTCATGATAAGAGTTTGAACCGCTCACGTTATTGTTTTTATCTACTTCAATGTACTTTAAAACTTTAAATGATGTTCCATCCTGATAACACTGCTGCACTTTGCTCCGTTCCTGTGTGACAGGTTGTAAAAAGTTGCATAACAAGAGGAAATTCCGCCAAACCTTATCGATCACCAGCAGAGATTAAACTACTTTGCATTACCTGGGCGGGGGTTCCCGGAAACTCTCCCACATGATGTGACGACGTATGTGTTTACCAACATGCCCTTATTTGGACATGCCTGTGCGTAACCAGGAAATGCGTATTACGTTCTGTGCGTAAAGAACCCAGAACGTGCTTGTGTAAGCGTTCCTCACTGGGAGCTATGGCAACTGTTAACAATACACAGTGGTGGAAAGTAACTAAGTACATTTACTAAAGTATTGTAGATAAATACAAATGTTAGATACTTGTACTATGTGAGTATGTATATGTTCTGCTAATTTATACGTTTATTTCACTACATCTAAAAGGTAAATATTGTACTTTAGTTGTAAATTCACATTACTTATGATAGGCCTAATGAAAATAGTATACATTCAATTATATCTGCAGTACATCTACAAGCTACCTAGCTGCATATCAAGTACTTAAATGTAATAACATGTAAATATAAAAATATAATATATTTGGTGTTTTTTATTCTAATACTTTTGGACTTTAACTTAGCCTACATTTTGAATGCAAGACTTATAGCCTACTTGGAATTGAGTATTTCTACTTTAAATATAGCAAAAGTACTTCTTCCATCTCTTTAGAAACGAGAGGGGAAACCTGTGTTTATCCTGGTTATGTGTTGCATGTTTATACTCTCTTAAAATGATATAAAAATCAAAACACTCCACAACTTCCGGTTCATTTTTGAGACACTTTACTTAAATACACATCACAAATAAAAAAAGGACAGTGTAAACATTGGACATCATCAGTTTGTCTGGATCAACCGGACGAACACAAATAATTTACACAATGAATAAACGCAGCATGACAATAAAAAGGTACAAATAAAAAATACAATAACGATTCCCATTTTTCTACCATTAGTAAACCCGCAGAGCTCAGTCTGGATGCTAAAAGGTGCTTTCAGCGATGTCCAGCATCCGGAAGTACCATTTCAATCAGTCTTTTTTCACCACAAAGAGCCTGTGATGATGCCATGATGGGCATCTCCAGTGTTATCACTTCTCAGTCATTTTTAAGTCTTATGTGTTTTAAAACGCCTCCAATTTGCTTGAGAGCATCAGTTGGCAACATCTCACATGCGCCAGGAGTAAAGTCTTTTTTGTGTGTTTTGAAACGCCTCAAAGTCTTATGTTGTGTTTTTAAAACGCCTCCAATTTGCTTGTGAGCATCAGCTGGCAGCCACTGCTCACGTGCGTCAGGACTTTTTGTTTGAGATGTGCCACCTGGTCCCGGAGCACCGAGGCCGTGTTGGAGAGCCCATGGTTGTCGTTCTTCAGCCCCTTCACCTTATCCTCCAGCCGGGATATGCGCTCCAGCTTCCGCCGCCGACACTTGGTCGCAGCCAGCCGGTTACGCAGCTTCTTGCGCTCCGCCTTGATGCGCTCCTGCGTCTCCAAATTGATGGGGGACATTGGAGGCGATCCGTCGCTGCTGAGGAAATCTGGAACAATCTGAGGCTCCTCTTTCAGAGCCACCAGCCTCTGCGGGTGATGGAGGGACTGGTGCTGCTGGAAAGCCTGGCTCTGCTGGTGGGGAGGCAGGTAGCTGATGGTGGCTGTTGGGTAGCTTGGCGCGGATGTGGAGAGGCTTGTGTTCGGGCAGTATGCATTCAGGGTGGTGTAGATAGGAGGCTCCGGCTGTAATAAAGTGGACCCAAAAACACTAGAGGCCGCCGGGGAGCATGTAGTGACTCCCCCGGCTCCGATGGACACATTTGGAGGAGGCATTTGGTTCATTTTGTGCAGCTCATCCAAAGCTTTCACAAATCCATCCGCGAAGCCCTCCTGCTCATCCGTGATGCCTCTGTTGTAGAAGTACTGACCCGGGGTCGGGGTTGTGATAACCCCGTTACCGTTCTGGATGATGAGCCTCTCCAGCTCCGGGGATGCGAGCTTCAGGGACCCCCCGTCGTGGTGGTGGTGTCCCCTTCCTTGGTACGGGTCTATCTCCGCCCTCAGGTGGGACTTCAGGCTGCGATAGGGCTCTGTCAAGTTCATATTCTGCTTTAACAGCTTGTAGTCATGCATTGCCGCGTCTGACTGGCCGTAAGAAGACAGATACGAGTCGTCATGATAGAAAGGCTGTTCCATCTTTGTAGACATTAAGGGAAACGTGAGCTTACCAGCTGCGTAAACACACTCTGCAACAAATGTCAGCAGAGAAAGCGGGCATCCACTCCTTTTAACAGTGTCCCACAAGCGAAATAGGATTACAAAACCCACCAAAACGTCCAGTAAACTTGTGTGGTAAAGTCTCAGTGCTGCTCCTGGGAGGGAAAGTATCTCCTGTTAGTTGTGCAGCTCTTGGTGCTTGTTGAGGTGTGTTCAGAGGGTTCAATTCGTGCCTATTTATATAGCCACACACACGCGTCTGCTGCTAGGGCTGAGCTGCGCTGTGATTGGTCCGGAGGCTCCGTTGGCCACGCCCACTATAGTGACGCTGATGCCGGGAAGAGGCGACTGTAAACAAGCCTGTAGGCATGGGAGCAGAAACCCTGCTGCCATGTGAAGAAAGGAGGAGAAAACTTGCACTTTCTGTGGAGTAAACACTTTGTTTAAAATAACTGTAAGTGTTCAAAGGTAAAGCCATGTGAGTGTAAAGGCTGTATTTGACTTTACACAGCGTAGTTTTCACAATAAAATATTAAGTCCCATGCAACACAACATAAAAAAGTGCAAATGGAAATAAAAATAAACCGAAAATATAGATAGCATAAATGTACAATTAAAATAAATTAAAAATAAGATTTCATTTCATATTTTTCTTGATAATTTGACTTATTTATGCTATGATTGAATCCTGTATAATACATTTCAATAAATAAATTGAAGAGCAACATTCATAGTAGATTTTCAAGTCTTTATAGGTTGGATAACACTTGATAAGTGACGAGGTGTCAATATCATTTTGCATCAAACATTTATTCATTCATCCATGTTACATCATAACAAAAACGAGGCTATTATTATGTTTGAGTTGGATCTAACTTAAAGTACACATCAGCTCCTCTACCACCTGATATTAGCCCCATTAGATATGAATTATAGCCTTCACAATCAAACTCCGGTCTCGTTATTATGACCCTTCCTCCGGAGGAAGTCCTCATGCCTTATATGGGCACGGTGACGTCGCAGTTCCTCTCCGGGAGAACCGGGAAGCCACGCCCCCCTGGGCCCCTTTCCAGGAGCAGTCCAACTCCTGTTCAAACCATGAGAGTAAACATAAACTACTGAATGGGAGAGAGGGGCTTTCTGTCTCTGCGGGGGGGGGGGGGGTTGAGCTTAGACATCTCATATATCCGTGTTGGTACTTTTGGAGATTTAAATAATTTTTGTAGTGAAAGATCCTTAAAATAAAACAAAATATGCCGAAGACCCTTATTTTTTATATCATTTTGTCCCAGGGCATTTTACTTTTAAATAATCAAAAAATAAAGACTAAGAAAATAATACTTTATTTATACAGGTGGAAAAGTTGCTCGATTTGAGAAATACAAAAATAAAGGATATAAGTAAGAATGTGCAATTAAATAATTATTCAATAAAATACAAATATTTATAAAAAAATATGAAGTCAAAGTTAGGTTCCAATAAAAGATGAAATACAATTCAATCAATAAAAAGATTGATATAAACATACAAAGCCAATGGAACATTTGCAGTGTCTACTACAGTAGACACTATTATGTAAATATGAAATTATGTTTTATTTAATATTTTTTACTAGCAATGTTAACAACAAAATTATTTTCCTGTATTGCAAAAATAAATTGAATATGCTATTAATGTTAATGTTTTATTTTTCTACGTTACCTTGACTGGATGCCTTAGTGTTTTGTAATGCCCCAAAACAGACTTGAGTGACACATATCACTGAAACAGAACACACACACACACACACACACACACACACACACACACACACACACACACACACACACACACACACACACACACACACACACACACACACACACACACACACACACACACATACACATACACACACACACATACACACACACACACACACACACACACACACACACACCACACACACACACACACACACACACACACACACACACACACACACACACAGTTCCCTGACAGGTTTGTGAGGTGCTGCTGAAGGAGCTCTGCTTTGATCGTGAATGAGGAAACCATCCAACACAAACTCAGTTAATAAACTCCAGGAAGATTCCTGCTCAGGAGTTTACCCTTTAGATCGATAAAGAGTGTATATAGAGAGGTGCAGGAATGAGTCCTAAAAAACAGAAATTAGTTCAAATGTCAGCACTTCTTGTTTGGAAGTCAATGGTTTTCTGAATGTGTTGTTTGTTGTTAGCCTGAAGTAAGCTTTGACACAGAGATTATTTTATGCAATATTCCGTAAAAACCCATTGGCTTTGTGTGGAGGGAACCAGAGATATGCTCTTGACCTAACAATCAACATCGGCACCTCTATTGTTTCCCCGACTCAGACTGCAAGGAATCTTGGTGTGACCCTAGATAACAAACTGTCCTTCACTGCAAACATCGCTGCTATAACCCGCTGCTGCAGATACACTCTTTACAACATCAGGAGGATACGTCCCCAGCTGACACAGAAAGTGACGCAGGTTCTGGTCCAGGCTCTCGTCATCTCACGCCTAGACTACTGCAACTCCCTCCTGGCTGGTCTACCTGCATGTGCCATCCGACCTCTGCAGCTCATCCAGAATGCAGCGGCTCGTCTGGTCTTCAACCTTCCTAAATGTTCCCACACCACGCCGCTCCTCCACTCCCTTCACTGGCTCCCGGTAACTGCTAGAATCCACTTCAAGACACTGGTACTTGCATACCATGCTGTGAATGGATCTGGCCCTTCCTACATCCAGGACATGGTTAAACTGTACACCCCAGCACGTGCACTCCGCTCTGCATCAGCCAAACAGCTCACTGTCAACGATGAATCTTCCAGGCAAACCAAAGTTAGCCATGGAGTGCCACAGGGCTCAGTGCTCGGACCTATTTTGTTCACATTAGATATGCTTCCGTTAGGCAATATTATAAGGAATCATTCTGTACATTTTCATTGTTATGCAGATGATACTCAACTATATTTATCAATCAAGCCTGATGAAATTAATCATCTAAATAAAATTCAAGACTGCCTCAAGGACTTAAAAACGTGGATGACCTTAAACTTTTGATGTTAAACACAACCAAAACTGAAGTTATTGTACTCGGCCCGAAGAATCTACGAAACAAACTATCTAAAGATATACTAACTATGGATGGCATTAATTTGGCCTCCAATGAGACTGTAAGGAATCTTGGTGTTATATTTGATCAGGATTTATCCTTTAATGCCCACATAAAATCAATTTCAAGGACCGCCTACTTCCATCTACGTAACATTGCAAAAATCAGGCATATCTTGCCTCAAAACGATGCAGAGAAACTAGTCCATGCATTTGTTACTTCTAGGCTGGATTATTGTAACTCTTTATTATCAGGGTGTACCAAGAAGTCAGTCAAGTCGCTTCAGCTGATTCAAAATGGCTCTATGAAACCTGATGTACTTATATGATTCTGTTTTCTTCAAGTTTGTATCTTCTTGGTCGAATGCTTTTATTGTAATTCGCTTTGGAGAAAAGCGTCAGCTAAATGTAATGTAATGTGCTAACTTCTAGGTTGGCCTACACAAATACGTTTCTCCTTCATTTTCTCTACAGGTATAATAATTACAGTTTATTTTCTGACAGCACAGAGAAATGCTGTGATTCCTTCTCAGCTGTTTCAGCTCTGGAGAAGTGAACCTTTGTCTCCTGTTTGTAATTCTTCCAACGCCCACACACACACACACACACACACACACACACACACACACACACACACACACACACACACACACACACACACACACACACACATACACACACACACACACACACACACACGCACACAAAACAAGTCAGGTAGGATGCTTTGCTTCAGCGAGCGATCTACATGTATCCTCCGGCTGCACCTGAAGGATGATCAGGAAACACATGAATAACAAGTGTGTTATTTACCGATGGAGACTGGAGACAAGGCCGGATTAGATTACATACGATACAACTGAATGATCAAATATATAAACAAGTCGAAGATCAGAGGTTACTGACAGTGCTGGAGTGTAACAGTACATTCACTCAAGTTCTTAAGTACAATTTTGAGGTACTTTACTTGAATATTTCAATGTTATGCTACTTAATACTTCTTCTCCATTACATTTTGGAAGCCAATATTGTGCTATAATGCAGGACTTTTACTTTAACAGAGTATCTTTCCAAATTAGTATTTCTACTTTGCTTAAATCTGAGTACTTCTTCCACCTCTGGTTGCTCCTAAAATGGAAAAGCTGGGTATTGAATGTACAAAAGTAGATATTTTAACCATAATTGTCATATTATTAAATAATGCCACTTGGATGGCAAAATGTGGATGTCTATACCATTATTAATTACATTTAGTTATTTAAACTGTTATCTATTACATTAATTGAACTATTTAAACTGATGTATGGATGGAAGCCCACAGATTAAGATCTAAACTTGAAACTGAAAATGCAACACCAAACTAGCGTTATATTTATCCACCTATGTGTTATTTGAGTAAAAATGAAAATGAAAATGGTATACAGTATATTGCCTTTTTATTCTGACCTTCAGGTGAATACCTAACTTAGACTTGAGTGAAAGTCCATCCGTTCCTAATAAAGACGCCTCCATAAGAGGACGGACAGATTTCATTTCAGACATGTTTGCTATATTAAAAGCGAGGGACTGTTAGCATTTAGTTATAGCATTTGAATATTATATTATATCCACTGTAAAGCAGGTTAAGTCTTTACAAATAAAATGTTAAATACCATTATTAAATGATCAATAATAAATAAAAATAATGTTAATAATAATAACTACCTTTAATAATAATAATAATAATAATAATAGATGACATTTGTATAGCGCCTTTCAAGGGACCCAAGGCCGCTTTACATGGTGAACAAACAAACAAACAAGTACTCAGGTCTTGTACTTGAGTAAAAGTAGAAGTACTCAGATCTTGTACTTGAGTTAAAGTAGAAGTACTCAGATCTTGTACTTGAGTAAAAGTAGAAGTACTCAGATCTTGTACTTGAGTAAAAGTAGAAGTACCAGAGTGTAGGAATACTCTGTTACAGTAAAAGTCCTGCATTCAAAATGTTCCTCAAGTAAAAGTAGAAAAGTATTCTCATCAAAATATAGTGAAAGTAGCGACAGTAAAAGTAGTCATTGTGCAGA